TCTCTGATTTTCACACACACAATTCGGGCTTCCATTTGATCTGTTGTTTAGTGGCCAAGAAACAAACAAAAAATGTTTGGAACCATCCACTTCTGCTCTAGTTGCAATAATATAATCATTTCATGAAAACCAAAACGGATCTAGGGCCAAATGGAGCAGCAATCTAAAGCCCAAATACTGTGAAAGGAAAAGGCAGAGTGAGACAGCATTAAATATATGACAGCACAAATTATGTAAACATGGTTAGTTTGGAAAAATCCACTGCTACGGAAACCATGATCGAGCTTTGATCATCATAACAATTCAAAGAGCAATACTCTCGATTGCTCACATTTTACAAAATTAACTCAAGCTTCAAAGACCTTGATGTCTTTACTTTATATTTCCAATATGGCAATCCACCCTTAGTGTTGTCAAAAGGCATTAGTCTTGATGCATTGACTTCGTTTAGATGCCGTCAATGGTTGGGTTAAGGTCTAAAAGTCCGGTTTCTGAAACATTCTGAACATCCGTGAGCTGACAGTTACTACCATATACATGATAATTGTTATCTGTTGGAATATCTCTATCTAAACCGCTATGCGCAGACGTCATGACACAAATAGACGTCATTTTTCCTTCTTGCTACCTACCGTCAATAAAAAAACAACAATAACAAAACAATAAATTCATGTCCCTTACCACAATATTAAAGTAGTGCGTTTACTCCTCGCTTCAAAAGTATGGTTCTGTTTCACCATGTTGGTTTCTCTCTGCGTGTGTGTTTCTGGTGGCTTGAGCGCCAGAACCCTTGCATACAAGTACTTCTTGTATGCAAAAGACCGTGATTCCCTGCGCAAAGAACATGCGCAGAACACGAACCAGTGTTTCTTTCAAAGGAGGTATTATGTCACCAAATATTTGCGTTTGAAAAGGAGTACCGTATTTTCCACATATAAGCACTTTGAGTATAAGGTGCACCTTCAATGAATTACCTATTTTAAAGATGTTTTCATAATTAGGGTATACTGCATCATAAGGCTCAGAGAAGAGAAACTACAATAGTGGCTGCATTTGCATCATGCATCCACTAGATGGAGCTACCCCAAAGGAATACAACAAAATACAACTTATTTATATAGAGCTTTCACAACCACTGCAGCTGGAACAAAGCGTTTTACAGAACTTTTAAAATACTATGTCCAAGAAATCTGAATATTGATCCATATATAAGGCGCATCGGATCATAAGGCGCACTGTCAGCTTTTGAGAAAATGTAATGCCTTTAGGTGTGCCTTACAGTGCGGAAAATACGGTAACCCAGGGGTCTTAGTTGGGCTTTTGAAAACACAAACATGAGCATATTCAGTTTTTTGTGGGTTTTACATAGCCTTTCAAAACCTGAATATTGCTAATATAACTTTGAAAGGGTTATTGACTGCATGTAAACAGTCTTTGACGATGGCATCATCTTTACAGCCATCAACGAAATACCACCCCAGCTAGATGAACTAGCACACACACAGTGAGTCGGAAACATTGAATGTTAGCTTAGTTAACATTGAATCTTCTGCTCTTCTTCTGTCTGCCCAGTTCAAAAAATACCAACCAGAGCACGTATCTCCTTAACAAGTTCACTAAATTGGTTCTGACAGATTTAGTCCGCAAAGCTCCATTCAAACTGAGGGCACTGAGGTCTAGCTTCCGTCCCACAGCCAATGTTTGATTTGCTCATTCTTTGAGTCCAGGGGGAACAGCGGGACCACACAATCCTTTCCTCTTACAATGGACAAATGCATCCCATCTGAACTGGCCGCCTTGTGTCATAACCTTAATGAAACCAGCCACTGCTCTTTGTTTGAGCGGCCGGCCCCCGAGAAGGAGAGGATCATTGATGCCCACTAGTCTTCTTGCTTCCTTAATGAAAATGGGCAATCTATAGCATCTTATTTAGATTTGGGAGAGCCGAGTAAGTTTGGATTTTTGACAGCTCAGGGATCTCTGCTTACACTGTGTGCCCCACTCATCCACAGATTTGTTAATCCTATTAATATGAAGAGGGCCAAGAGCCTGAGAGTGGCCACAGTTTAAGAGCCATCAACCCGCATTAGCGTTGGAAACACAAACCCACGTCTAGACCTACTAAGTGCTTGGACCCAGTCAAATCATTGGAGGTCTGATGATGGCAGAATAACCTATAGCCAGTATTTACCAGTCAAGTCTCCCTAAGGAAATGCACTGAGCTGATGCAACAGATGTCTCACATTATTGGATATAAATCCCACTAATCTCATTTTGTTGGTCAAAGAGCACATTAGAGGCGTCATCTTCACACACTGTATTCCTTGGCAGCGAGAAAGCTTTTCTCGCATTATTGAGTAGCCGCTTTGAATGTCCGCTGTGCTATTCTGACCATGTGAAGGATTTACTTGTTGGATGATCCAGCCCAGCATTGCATTTTACTCCCATTTAAGGCGATTATTATCACTGTGTGCAAGTCTGTCTGTGTGCAACACTGTACATGTGCGCTCCTAACGCCACATGATGTATTAAGAGAGATAATCTGTTGGCTTTTAATTAAAACGCATGGCAAAGAGACTCAAGAATACTCGAGGACTAGGGCTGACATGTTGCACCGTGCAGTCGAGTTGATCTTTTACGCTTCAATCCACCAACAGGCAAGTTCAACCCAGTTCCACATTAAGTCCTGTTTCTCTTCTGGCTGCACACCAGTCGAGCGATTACAAAGCGTCTGATTTATGCAGTTTGTTCTGGCTGGGCAAAAGCACAGTGAGGGATTTGAAGACACTACGGGTTCGGTGGCCGCCCATGAGCAGCTTTCAGCCACACTGAAGTCGTGGGCCGCCATGGGGCACATCACAGATAATCAGTTGAAGTACGTTAAGAACTCTTTCCAACCAGCCACAGACATTCATCTTCATGCAGAAGCAGATTGCCGTTCGCCTTGATAATGAAGGCGAGCTCGTTGAGGTATCTTCAGAGACATACTCTGTGATTCTGTATCATGTTTCTAAAGATTCTAATCACCATCTGGACCTGGAGCAAATCAACATCCGCTGGTGTCAGGGGAGCATGATGCCTCGTCAAAAATGTTACTGTTATTACGAATACGGGATGTTACCAAGATTTCGATGCGCAACATTCACCTCTTACTTTTAACTGTATTTTTAGAATGTGGCTCAGGTAATTTGTACAGCAGCTGATAGATGCTTAACTACAATAAACCTAATTGCATGACATGTCTAATAGGTGCAATTTCTCATTGATTTCAGTCTTACTTGAGCATGCCTCGATCCATCCATTTGTACTGTAGTTGTTGTTCCTTGCTACGACAGTGATCTTAACTATATATATTATATATTTATAATAAGCACTTTTCAAAAGCATCCTTGTTTGCCCATCAGAATATTTTGTTCACTTTCAAATCACACCAAAAAACAAACAAAAACAAAAAAAATCACAAAAGTTGCAGACAAATGTGTTGGTATTGTTAAGTAGTGCACTTGACAAAGGTCAGAAACCTGAATATTCTTATGTAAATTTTGTAGGACTGTGCAGCTGTCATGCACAGCAGTTTGTACAAATCAGACCTACTCTGAGTGAGTGGAAATCACTGCTACATAATGGATTTCATGAATATACGGTGCAACCATAATTGCCTAACTGCTAAAAAATGATGGCAAAGTAGAGCATTTTAAAGGGAACATTTTCATGCGGCATGTCCACAGAATAGCTGCCACATCTGTGAATTTTAGTTATAGTAACATTAGTACACAGGCACACAATGTACTCGGGTTCAGTGATGTTCATTCTATGCAAAAAATATATATTTTATGATTTCTTAATTATTTCTGATGAAAACATAATTTACAAGTTTGGGTTTACATTGCTTGCAAAAGCGATTTTATTTGCTGATCATTTTGCGGTGCTGCTGCATTTCCTAATCAATACATTTTGTCAATGTACAAATATTTTTGTATTCTGAATACTTTAAAAAAAAAGTCCAGACCAATATATATTTTCATAGCTGCACAAGAACATCACCTTAAAAATAGAAATGGGAAAGTGAAGTGGCTGAACTTGTATTTTGAAGGGAGGATGAAAGCGACCATTTTTTTAACCGTTGTGACAATTTTGGGGGAAAGTGGAGCTTAGGAAAATGGAGCTCCAATCTATTTGTGGTCAAAGTCTGAGTGAATCTTTCCAGGCTGGTGTACGGAAAGATGATCACGCCCACAGCATCAACATATCGTAGAAAGAGCTTTTTCGGTGAAATGATTAGACCACACGAGATTGCTTACCGTTTTTGTAATTACAAGGCAATTTGAAAGGAAATTTGTGAGGTCATTCGGAGAGAAAAATGGAAGGAAGCACTTGACTGAGTCGCCGGTTGATACCCGTGCATAGAGAGGCCTCTTACGTTCATCTAAAGCCAAACACAAGCGTATTCCGATGATCTGTCCGCGTGTTAACTGGATTTTACGTCAATAAAAACTGTCGCCATGGTGAACACTGGTCAAAGTTCAGAATTCAACATCGGCATATACAATAGTTGAGAAAACTATCCATCCTGTAGATAAATATATTTTATTTAGGGGAATTAAGCAGTGTACACAATTTTAATTGAATATGTATTTCAAATCACAAAGCGAATTAGAAAACGGATGGATGGATGAACTGCATGCAATCTGCGTGATGTCTAAGACATCTGCGACTTCTGATGTCTCCAAACTGGCAAGAAAATAATGAAATAAAGCTACCATGGATCCTTTGCTTCCTCTTCATTCACTTCAAACCCTTCTCTTTCAGCTGAAGTAGGACGAGAAAAAAAAACCCACACAGGACCATCTGTAGACAGACGCTGGTTGATGAAGCCGGAGGCCTGAAGGCTTAGGGGGTATTCAGATGGATGCATAACAGACATAGAAGCGGGGGAGAGACAGAGAGAGAGAGGGAGAGAGAGAGAGAGAGAGAGAGAGAGAGAGAGAAAGAGAAGAGAGAGAGAGAGAGAGACTTACAAGAACAAAAGCAGGTCTCTCCATCCTTAATTGTCTAAACAACCTTAATTGACTAATCATAAACATGTCTGAGACATGTCGAGAATGTGTGTGTGCGTGCGTGTGTGTGTGTGTGTGTGTGTGTGTGTGTGTGTGTGTGTGTGTGTGTGTGTGCGCGCGTAGAGGGAGAGAGAGAGAGAGAGAGAGAGAGAGAGAGAGAGAGAGAGAGAGAGAGAGAGAGACAGAGAGATGCAAACACAACAGTAATTACAGGGAGGAGGAGAGAGAAATCCACACCGCGAAAAACGAGGAGATGCTCAGACTGCTGGGTTGCCGCCCTTGGGCCATCAACAGAACCACAACCCTAACCAGCCCATCATTCAATATAGAGTTACAGACCACTGCTATGACAGGAGGGGCCAAGGAAGGGACAGAAACGGATGCAGACAAGTGTTTCGAGGACTTGTCTAATCTAAGATGCATTGTGCATATTAGAATACTCGAAATTCCCAAATAAGAAAATGAATGCTTCAAATGGACTGTGCTAGGTAACTCAAGAGTTAATCATGAGAAAAAAAAATGGTGTTATTTGCCACCAGCAAGGGCAAGCCCCTGTCCTGAGTGGAAGTTCTGCTTCATTCCAGCTTTACTCATAAAAACCAACTCAGTGCCTGACAACTGTCGGACCACCATTCATGGCTACCGTGCCAAGCCTGCAACCTTCATAACATCCTCATGCAGTTAAACCTCACACCACATCACATGAACAAATGTGGAGGGCGCAGTTCATCACATCTATCATCAGTGCTTGACGTGGGACTGCAGGCAAAGGAGACTTGGGGCTCTGGGTATAAAATGACACTCAAAAGCTCAACTGGAATTCACACATTCACCGTAGTGAAGCTGTGGAGCCATTTCCACATGGTGAGCAAATACTGTAGTAGTTCAATAATTTGCAGAATTATCTTCATGAAAAACAGCCCGTTGATTTGCCTGGCAAGGCTGCTGGTGGACCGGCGCCTCTCTACGGTGTCCGTGGCCCGTCTCTGTTCAGCAGAAGCGCATTCCCAAGACGAGGAAAAAAAACAACAGGATTCCCTCAGCAGTGGCAAGGAAAATCTCAAATCTATAATAACCACATAAACGATGATATTGTGCAGTAGAGGCTTTTATATTGCACTGTGATTGTTATATCGTACAGATCTAACACATGCAAAGATGGTGGCTCACTCGTTGAAAAAAAAAATGAAATGAATTCCAGAAAGGTCACTGACAACACACACCGCAGTGTGTAGTGCCAACGCAACGAGAAAACATTGGTTTGAATCAGAAGATTTATTGTACATACACTGTAACCTTTGTATACATCAATTATGTTGATTGATCAATATGGTTCTTGCTTTGCCATGCATAGGAGAGCTGTTGAAACTGTGCCTGACAGAGCGCTGAAAGTACATGAAAATACGAATATGGCCAATGCTCTCTATATAGTCCCCTTGGATTATTGTAGGTCAGCAGTGATGCACATTTAACACCAGGCAAGAGAATTTTCTGAAAAAGTGCAAAGTGAAAAAGTTCCATCCAATGTAATCAAGACTTTGAAATGATTTCGCTTCATATCGATCAATGACTCATAGTTAAAGGGCACCTTGAGGATACTGAGTTGTAATCTTTATCGGCAAACAGGGGATTGCTGTCATTGTTGCCTCTGAAATATATCGCAGTCCTCAGGAGAAGTTCCCCAAAGATTATGCTCTACCGTTCAAGTGCTGCACCTTTTGATAAAATACGTCTCCTCTTCCCCTTGATAAGCAAAGCCAGGGGGTTCCACTGAAACTACTTTTTCATTCAAACCAGCGAGAAAAAAACAGCAGGCTATTACCCGTTCGGTATCTTTGCAACCAGTGCCAAATTTGGACACGCCTGCGCCCGGCCACAGTCTTTGGGGCGCTCAGCCGCACGGTGAACGGCACGAAACAACGTGCAAAGCGGTTACAGTGTCAATCACAGCTTATTTTTGACACATCTCTTGTATCTTTTCAGATGAGGGGTCATCAAACTTTACTGAAACCGAGAGCTACATCTTGGGTACTGATTAAATGTGATGGGTAACCAGTTTGAGGCACACTTCTGAAATGAGCTCATTTGCTCATATTACTTTTATTTATGTCAACAATAATTAATTATTAAAAAATTACTTTCTGCAACCTTATGGAATATAAAGGATTTCTGCAGCTCAATGTCTGACCAGTCATTCCAACTATTGATGCGATACCTATGTGATTTCGGGCAAAATTACCCGTCCCTTTAAATATTGCCATTTCGAAGAATGATAATTTGACAATAAAGTTGTACTTGGCTTGACTTGATAAATAAGAAATCCAAAAGTTCATTTTGCATTCTAGTGCTGTACTGAAATCTGGTGAATTTATGCACAGATGTCTTGTACAGCTACAATATGTCTTTTACTATAAATGTAGTCACATAGATACAGTACACCCAACCTTAACTTTGAGCAGAAAGTGAGTTAAACCAGTGCACTGATTTCCTAGCCAGAGGCAACGTTAAGCACTGCCTGGTCCTTCACTTAGCATTATTGTATTGAAGTATCTGTATTTGATTGTTTTGAGGGCAGACGTACAAATTGTGAGATCCTAATTCTCCACAACTGTGTCCCTTTTTATGACATACAATTCTAGCTTGTTTGCGGGCTTGCAGTTGAATATGTCATCATTCCCATCTGCAGCCTTCTCCACGTCGGCATCAGGCTTCACCTCACACTCGCACACTGTTACCAAGTTACATCATTGTGTGGGTCTGGGATGGTTTTTATTTTGACAAATTAGATAGCTCTGGCTCAGCCGCCTCTCTTTGCTGCTCTCTCACCACCAGCGGAGCCTGAGGGGACAGGAGACTGCTGCTAATTACGAGACCGAGCGCAACATGTGCTGTTTCAAACAGATAGTGCTGGATGACAGATAGCAAGCAAAGAAAAACCCGTCAAACATAAGAACCCATCAAATAAAATATAGAAAAATTCTTGGCTGGGATTGTAGGGTTTGTGTCAAAAGCCCCGTACTGGGTTGGATCGCAGCTCAGGTAGCAATAAATAACATCTCTCCGCAGACTAATCAGGTCTTGGCATGCTAAAACTTTTGAAGGCTGTTGGATCTCTCCAGTAGTCACCTTTACCCTCTCAGCGACCACTCTTTGACAGCTTTATGGATATTCAACATCTGTCTTGAACAGGAGAGTAGGATCCGCCTATGAAGTCCAGAATGCAAGTAAAGCAAATACACTACAGGGAAAGAAAAACTCCACAAGTAGAACAACTTGCCTTGGGATTTTTTTTTCTTGTTGTAGGAAGTGCTCTATATAAAGAGCAGTTAGAAGAATTGTAAAGGAAACATGGCAGTCATTGATGTGAATGGGGTTAATGTCCTGTTTGTTTGACTGAGCAATATCCTCTGGCTTTATTGGAAGTAAATTAGTCATGGAAAAATATATCAAAAATAGACAGAGTGGTTGATTCGAACCTTTCTGAACTACAATTACTGCAGAAATTGGGCTTACTTCTATTAGAATATAATTTTTATGGAAAAAAAGGACATCAAAACACAGTATATCATTTTAAAAAACATTTAAAAAAAAGAAAAAAAAGAGGGGGTTTAATGTGGCCTTTGAATAGTAATGTAAACCGAATCAGGAAGCGGAATGTTGAAGGACAAACATTCTGAAAATACTTTGAGCACATTTTAGGTTTTTCAGAGCATTCTGTGTTTTTGGATAGGAATCTATCAGCACGGCACATTTTGACTTGCAAAAGTGCTCCAAATCTGTCAGACGGCGAGGGCATCTCCTCGTCAGATCACCCCAAAGATTTTCAACTGGATGTATGTCTCGACACGGCTGGGCCAATCCTTAAATTATGTTTTCTACAGTTTTATTTTTCCAGTGTCAGCTTTTTCATTTCATTTTATATACTGAGTAATTGTTTAACTTTTTTAATGAACTGCATTCATTCAGTCATTTTGTATCTTGAGATTATGACCAGGAGCACACCTATCTGGCCTGTACAAGTTGCATGTCCCCAAATTTAAAAATACATGTTTTTCAGTTATTTACCTTAGTCTATGTTTTTGCAACTTTAAAAAAAAAGTTTACCTTAGTCTATGTTTTTGCAACTTTAAAAAAAAGTATTTTTAAGATAAGATAAGATAAGAAAACCTTTATTAGTCTCGCAATGGAGAAATTCCCAATTCACAGCTTAATGGACTGTTTTCACTTTTATGTCCAATGTATGTTGGAAGTTAATGAGAATCCTTCCATAATTAATCACTTTATGTGAGCTATTAAAAAGCAGTATTGCAAAGAAAAGATAAACTAGGTAGAGAAGCCACTGACCTACATCACAGTGTGCATGAGGAATAAATATGCCTGAGGCAGTGACAACCACTCAGCCATCAAATATCAAATGGTGCACTCGCCCCCCAAAAAATGATAGTTTCCAGTGAAGAGTGACAAAACAGTCTACTTTAAGTTGATCGGGGGAAAAAATCATAATGCTTAAAAGTTCCAGCAGGCTGCACATTTGGACAGTATGGGACTTGTTCGGTGGAGTGATTTCTTCTCCAGAGATCAATTATTTCCATGCTAAGGAAATCTTGGAGCAACTCTGCTCTCTGGAGAATGTAATACAGAATACATAAGCATCATGCACGCTACGGTCCTCTCATTTTATTGGCACGGATGGGAAATCTTACTAACTTAAGCAGGCTCAAGACACTTTGAACAATAAAGCATCCATTTAGGTTGGAATAATAAAATGTTCCGTGTACTCAAATACGAAGTCAATCGCCTCGTAGTGAAGATGCAGTGTTGAGTGTTCAGTGTGAAACATGTGCCCTGGCAGGTACCTGTCATCGTAGCAGAAATCTGCTCCCAGTGTGTTGACATACAGGACCAGAGCCACGGCGCTGCACAGCAATTCTGCAAACATCTCTTCTCGTCTGGCAAACACGCGTAACGTCACGTGGGTCCAACAATATAACTTCAAGGAGGAATCAAAGACTACAAAATCCCAAAT